TTAATTACAATAAGATTTTTCCTAGGTCCTACACTAGATTTATCGTTTGGCCTCACTAGACGAGGAATAGACACAGTTTCTATATAATGTTCTACACTACTTATATCAATTAAGTTGGGACAGCAAAGACTGTGAATTGGACTTTGACTTACTAGTCAGATGGTGTGCAACGTCTTGGAGATGTTGTCCGACAGAACAGCCGCTCCGATTCTGCTGGGGTGCAGGCCATCAGCACGGGAGAGCCTAGGTCGCTCCCAGAACAGATTCCAATTATTTACAAAGCAAATAGTCTACTGAACCTTTCTTGTCCTAGTCGGTACGTGGGAAGCAGTCCAGACACGATGATCGTTGCCTCAGGCGCTGTGCTGTGTACCGTCTCGATCAGGCTCCTGTAGTCCTTCTTCAGAACCTCCGTCTGCCGCAGCCTGATGTCGTTCGTTTCCGCAAGGAGGACAACGGCTCCGACGCGCTCGTCACCGTTCAGGATCTCGGGAACCTGTGCGGCGACATCAAGAACACGAGCACCAGGAAAGCAGTGAGTGCGCACCTTACCCTTACCTGAGGTAGCGCGGACATGACGGACCATGGAAGTGCCGATAATCACGGCGTCGTCGCGTTCCGACTCGCGAAGAGGGGAGAAGCGGTTCCGGGTGGAGATCTCGAAGACCGGGAGGGGCGGAGAGGTTCTTGCTCTGGTCCTGGCTCGTGTCTTCCGCTGTGGGATCACCCAGGGTCCATGGTGCTGTGTCGGTGCCGGAGTGAATGAAGCCAGAGATGATCGCGTCCTCCTGGGCAGAGAAACGCACGGAGTAGACGAAGTCGGAGTCAAAAAGTTACTAACCACTGACTTGTGAGCATCGGCGCGTGACGTTTCAAGCGCTGATCGCCGATCCCGCAGCTCGGCTTGCCTCTCCAGCAGACCACGGATCTGTTTCTCCACCGATTCCAGTTCCAATCGTACCGAGATCAGCTCGAATGTGTCCTCACCTGCACTCAGAGGTAACGTTAGACACACATCCGATATGTTCGCCATTATAACAGATGAACAGTAAATTAGCAGTGATACTACCAATATCACTACTAATTTAGGACTGGAATGCTGGATATAACCTGTATCCTTTCAGTGAAACGGGTGTAAAATCAGACGCTCGATAGGCGAATTTTTTAGAGACTTGCGCTCAAAGAAGAGATTGACCCCGACGTGATTTGGACACGCAAATCAAAATTTCACTTCTGTGAAATTGCTGAGCTCGTTATAGGGTCTAGCAACAAGGATTCCTGAATTTTATTAAAGACTTGAGCTGAAAGAAGAGATAGCTTGACCCCAACGTGATTTGAACACACAACCTTCTGATCTGGATTCAGACGCACTACCGTTGAGCCACGAGGCCCTGCACTTCTGTGAAATTTGCTGAGCTCGATATAGGGTCTAGCAAAAAGGATTCCTGAATTTTATTAAAGACTTAAGCTCAAAGAAGAGATTGACCCCGACGTGATTTGAACACGCAACCTTCTGATCTCTCTTTTCCAGCACTTTAGACGCAGTTGCTCCAGTGCTCCATTGCTCCATTGCGCTTAAAGAAGATTAAAGAAAAATAGTCCAACTCCGTGGTACAACGAGCACACCCAGGCCCTTAAGAGAGCAGCCAGAAAAATGGAGCGCAACAGGAAGAAAACTAAACTAGAGGTATTTCGGATTTCATGGAAAGAGAGCTCGATTGCTTACAGAGAGGCTTTAAAAGCTGCTAGATCTGCTTATTTTTCAACCCTATTAGAAGAAAATAAACATAATCCTAGGTATTTATTTGAAACAGTAGCTAAACTAACGAAAAAGAAAGCTTCAAGCTCAGAAGTGTCCAAGCAACACAGCAGTATTGACTTTATGAGCGTCTTCACTTATAAGATCGATAATATTAGGGACAAAATTATAACTATGCAACCGTCTACCACAGTATCGCATCAGGAAGTGCATTGTAGTCTCCATGAGGAAAAATTTGATTCATTTGTTGCCATAGGAGAGGACGAATTTTCTAAACTTGTTAAATCATCTAAATCAACAACTTGTATGTTAGAACCTATACCGACTAAGCTACTGAAAGAGATGCTTCCAGAGGTCATAGATCCTCTTCTTACTATCATTAATTCGTCTTTGTCTCTAGGATACGTACCAAAAACCTTTAAGCTGGCTATGATAAAACCGCTTGTTAAAAAACCGCAACTTGATCATACAAAATTAGTCAATTACAGGCCGATCTCGAATCTGCCTTTTCTATCAAAGATATTAGAAAAAGCAGTATCCTAACAACTGTGTTCCTTTCTAGAATGAAATGATATCTGCGAGGATTTTCAGTCCGGATTCAGACCGTACCGTAGCACTGAGACAGCTCTCATCAGAGTCACACATGATTTGCTCTTATCATCCGATCATGGTTGTATCTCTCTATTAGTGTTACTCGATCTTAGTGCTGCATTTGATACTATTGACCACAACATTCTTTTAAATAGACTCGAAAATTATGTTGGCATTAGTGGAGTTGCACTAGCATGGTTTAAATCATACTTATCTGACCGTTATCAGTTTGTAGCAATAAATGAAGAGATGTCTTTTCGATCACAAGTTCAGTATGGCGTACCACAAGGCTCAGGACTAGGACCGTTGCTGTTCACTCTGTACATGCTACCATTAGGAGATATCATTAGGGAACATGGAATTAGTTTTCACTGTTATGCCGATGATACTCAGCTGTCTATTTCTTCACGCCCCGACGAAACTTACCAATTCACAAAATTAACGGAATGCATAGCCGATATAAAAAATTGGATGACTAGTAATTTCCTACTACTAAATTCTGAAAAAACAGAGATTCTAATTATTGGACAAAAAACTTCCACACGTAATAACCTAGAATACTGTCTAACACTTAATGGCTGCTCTGTTAAGTCTTCGTCGTCGGTTAGGAACCTGTGTGTGTGTGTGTGTGTGTGTGTGTGTGTGTGTGTGTGTGTGTGTGTGTGTGTGCTCTTTGATACCAATCTCTCATTTGAAAGTCACGTGTCTAGCATCTGTAAAACCGCATTTTTCCATCTTAAAAACATATCTAAATTACGCCATATGCTCTCATTAACAAATGCAGAACAATTAGTTCATGCGTTCATGACCTCAAGGCTAGATTATTGTAAAGCTCTACTGGGTGGTTGCCCTGCACGCTTAATAAATAAACTACAGCTAGTTCAAAACGCAGCAGCTCGAGTTCTTACCAGAACCAGGAAGTATGACCATATTAGCCCGGTTCTGTCAACACTGCATTGGCTGCCTATTAAACATCGTATACATTTTAAAATATTGTTGATTACTTACAAAGCACTAAATGGTTTAGCTCCGCAGTGCTTGAGCGAGCTCTTAATGCATTATAGTCCTTCACGTCTATTGCGATCTCTAAACTCCGGCCAGTTGATAATACCTAGAATATCTAAATCGACTGCTGGCGGGAGATCCTTTTCTTATTTAGCACCAAAACTCTGGAACAGTCTTCCTACCATTGTCCGGGAAGCAGACACACTCTGTCAGTTCAAAGCTAGACTAAAAACACATCTCTTTGACCTAGCATACACATAATACATTATAGACTTCGATAATTCAATGTTAGGCTGCATAGATTAGGTCAGCCGGAACTGGGAACACTTCCCTTAAATCCAGATGTACTCGTTACATCATAAGAAGAATGGCATCTACGCTAACTTTAGTGTCTTTGTTTATCCCGAGGTTTTCCTGCAGCCTGCCGGATCCGGGCCGTATCCAGATCTGACGAAGGAGATTCGCCTGGACCCGATGACAATGCAGTGCTGAAGTGTCCACTATCCTCTCCCTATGGAGGATCCCTTTCCCACTCGACAGATAAAGCGTTGTTGAAAATCCGGCTCGCGTACCCCGAAGTGAAAAAATTAAATTCTGTATCAAATTTATAGGCAAGACAAGTAGTTTGTTTAGGCATGGTTTGTAGGGAAATTACAAACCTGCGCACACATATTCAAACGAATATAACTATAGAATCAATTCTTAATGCGCATGTGAACGCCATCAGGTCACAGGTTCGCGTTTAAAGTCTGTTTAGAGAGAACGCCGTCGTCTTAGTGGCCCCTAATGTAATAACAAATGATAATTTTGCTGGAAGTGATTAATTCAAAACCAACTTTAGCCGGAAATAACATTATTCAAAATTGCTATAAAGCCAAAACAATCTCTGTTACCGTAAATTGTATGTTTATCTCTGTAAAGCTGCTTTGAAACAATCTCCATTGTTAAAAGCGCTATATAAATGAAGATGACTTGACTTGACTTGACTTGATCTGGAGTCAGACACGCTTCCGTTGCGCCACGAGGCCCTGCACTTCTGTGAAATTGCTGAGCTCGTTATAGGGTCTAGCAACAAGGATTCCTGAATTTTATTAAAGACTTGAGCTCAAAGAAGAGATAGCTTGACCCCGACGTGATTTGAACACGCAACCTTGGAGTCAAAATGTAAACTATAACTTCTAATATTGTTACTTTCTCACACATTTCCATGTGTTTCTCTCCTTCTGTGAATTCCTCTTTGAGCCATGTCTTTTTTATTTGCTTTAATACCAGTGTCCTAATTGTTCTGAAAGTATATTGTTATCTTTTGTAATGTTTTTTCTTAAAAAGGGAGTGGGTAAAGGGTTATCAGAGTATTTTTCAATCATATGTGTACATGTCAAATTTATCTCTAAAATTAATTAATCCTCAATTTTTTTTAATTATTAGACACAGATATAAAATATGCGTGTACATTTTGTACCGGGCCCAATATGTTCTTACTGTGGGCCTGAGTAATGAATCGTTTTAGAAGTTGACTCTAACAATGCGAAACACAAGTAATGAAACTGTTTTCACAACTTCTGTCGACTCAGTAATCCAGCAACTGCCCTGCGTTGTGTGGGGGAACTCCCATGCTTCCAGAGATCCTCCTGCGGCGCTCTCACACTGAGGGGGTTTCAGTGCTGAGTCAGTCACGAATTTGGAGCTCAACAGTAACAGATACGCAGCATTTTCTTGACAGAATCTACTACACAAAGGCATTTATTAACAATTAATGTATCCACTCAACGATTCAATGAAGACGATGAACCGAAGATACTCTATACTCCTTTCAATATTTATCTGTCAAGTTTATACAATGCTGGCTCAGGTGAGTGATATTCAGTAAGTATTCGATAAATAACAGAAACTAGTGCTTTGTTTTTTAGTAATTTAAGATTCTGTAACCTGAAAAAGAGCAAATAGGAGAGTAAGATTCAGTTGCTTAAGTCACGTTTCAGTACAAAGGAGTTCATTCAGAGTAGGTCAAGCGTTAAAGCTAAACGCATGTGTACGCCATTGTATTTTGGCCACTCTTTTATTATTATAATGCAGAACGAGATGATGGTTTCAAATTATTTATAAGCTACTGCAAAAGTATATTTTATTGTAAATGCATCTGATTTTATCTGAATTTGTAGGAAGCCTAACAGCAGCACCAGTACATTTTTTTTTCTTGTATGACAAAATATACAAAAATGAGTCCATATATGTTTAAGATCTTGTCTTTGACATGGGCAATATAAAATCTTGAAATAAAATTGTGAAAAGTCTTTCAGTCTGACAGACTGTAGGCTTACTGTGTGACTATTGCACATTTTTAATCTAGTCTACACAACCACTCTATTCACAGGGATTTGAGGATAAACAACATGGAATGTTCTGATGTACTCTTAAAGAGAACACTGTTGAAACGCACATCCACAGCTTCTGTTCCCGCCCACCGCTACTAATGCGTCTCCAACACTGCGGCTCTATCTGTTATCCAGGCGCTTTACAGCAAGTTCAAATATTTATCCTGCTTACATAAGTCTTGCAAGATGAAAACATGACATGAAAAAGGAAGCATAGTGCTCTCAGTACCAGCCAATGAGAGGGAAGGATCATCTAAGTTACTGTTGATCGTCACCATGACTAACTGATAAAGAAGTAAATGTTCACATGAGTTTGTTGATTATCAAAATAAAATACAAAATGATTATGCTCCAAAACTCAAACCTTAGAGGGTTTGGTAGGATCTCAAAGTAGCAAAATTCAAGGTCATAGTGAAGACAATCCAGCAGATCAGGAACCAGCCACATTATTGCGCTCCTGCCCTGCAGTGAAGGTTCAGCTTTGTGAACGGACTGGACATTCGAGCTTCTGACTTCATAACCATAATCCCACAATCAGCATCCAGAGCAGGTCAGAGGTCACGGGCTCCAGATGACCTCATCAGAGACTAAAAAAAGAAACAAGAATGGGAAATACAATCTTTGACTTGGCACATTTTAAAATTATTTTAGAAGCTTTTAGATTAAAAAATATATATATATAGGTTATACAGGGTCTATTGATCGATGGACGGGTAGATCGACAGGTTGTGTGTTTACATTTGAAATATACATCAGAAACATCGTAAATATCATCAATGTATTACCATTTCAAAATGCATTTCAAACATTGCATCTGAGATGACTGTCTGTTAAGTAACTGTTGCGTCACTCTGATTGAATAGTTTTAAGGAAAAAGACCAGCAATATTTCATGCTTAGATCATGAAAGTTTCATGATAACGAGATCCATTGACACCAATTACTGTGAAACATGAACCAACTGGAAGACATTATAGGAATCTAACATTTCTTCATCATTCACACTCTTAGGGTCCTACTTTTCCAGACCATGTTTTCAGATTTGTCATTACTCTATGTATGCAGATCCTTGTAATGAGAACCTGTGGACTAATGAGTCTACAAGAGACAGATGATGGAAATATAGGAGTTATCAATCCGTTGTTTTCCTTTTTACAGTAAGCCAGGCGAGGAACACTGTAGCTAAAGCTTTAGTGTGTCACACTTTACTTTTACTGTAGTTTTTTCTTGATATTTATGATTAATGTCATTGAAGGTGATTAAAGTAATGTTCATAGAGACAATGAATGCACAATGCAATGTTTTGAACATTGGACAGCCTGTGTAAAGCTATGACCGTTTTGAAATTTGTGGGTAACACTATGTTGATGGTCCATATTAGATATTCTATAACTATGAGTAACTGTGCAACTACATGTCAACTAGCTCTCATTAGAGTATTAGTACTGTCTGCTTAATTAGGCCACCATCGCGTCATCAGACTAAGCTTGATACTTTGTTTAAAAGAGAACGTCCTGATGCAGTTTGTTGAGGCTTTGGTGGATGTCTGCTGGAAGTTGTATTGCGCAGACACAGAACCGGTTTGATGCTGAGGGTCTGATGAATGAGAAGACCTGAACCTGAACCTTCGTGTTCTCAGACAGGGATCTTTAACAGGAGGCGAGGGAGGTTGTGGGTCAAAGTTTCAATATTCTTATAATATTACTAAGAGCAGAGTTACAGGAGTTAGTAACGCACAGGGAAAATTACAGCAAACACGGTTCAGCTAAAATCCTGATTACCCAAGTAGTTCTACAGTTTGTCTTAATACACAGGCTAAATATTACAAACTAACATATCATGTTTATATATCAGTGGTTATATATGATGCATAGGAGTAAAAAGGCCTTATTTGTCTGTTTAAGAGTGAATCAAGTTTAGTCCTTTCTAAACTCGTTTGGGTCAGGGTTAGGGTTAGGTACATCTCGATGATGTTTCTTCGCTGTGATAGGCAGAGGTCCGGTTCTGACTCCACAGACCGCGGGCGCCGGGTCCTCGTTGAGTGAGGGGACTAGGGGATCGATCTCTTTTAGCCACTTCAGCCTGTTTTACTGTACTGGATGCTACCGTATGGATCAAACAGGTTATGCAAAAAACGTGATGGAAATATGCATGTTTTTTTCAGGACTGTCCCAGCAAGCGAGACATACAGAACTCAATTCAACAGGCTCACAAACTGCTTTCATCACAGGAATCTTCATACTTGCAGAGTCTTCGTACTTTGAGGAAGAAACTCAACCTCCTGCATGACAGTGTTGCACGCCGGCCCGCTAAACCAAAGAACTGTAAGTGAACGACAGCTCAAACGGAATAACACGAGGCACACATGCTTCATTTAGTTGAAAGCGTCCACACTGTTTGCTGTTGTCTTCCACAGTCACTTGCCCCGACCTGGAGCCTCCTGTGAACGGCAGAAAGCTGGGCAAGGCTCTGCTCGCCGGCCATGAAGTGCACTTCATCTGTGACGTGGGCTTCGAGCTGCTGGGCTCCGAGACGAGACACTGTAAAGACTCGCTCAGCTGGAGTGGACATCAGGCCGTCTGCAAAGGTGTCCGCTCTTAAACACTCCTGTATTCAGTCCATCTAAAGCCTCCTCAGTGCCGTCTCTGAGGCTCAGTCGGCTCTGAGTGTGAACAACAGCTCGGTCTAGGAAACCAGGTGCATTTTCCAGTTGGGATTTATTTGGTTCTATCAGAAAAATCATGTCTTTAAATGCCATCTCAAGTTGAAATACACTATTCGGACAAATGTATGCAATACACCTGCTTCTAATTAACATGTTTGGCTATTGAAGTGACTCCACTGAACACATCTTAACCCGTTTAATCCCACCGGTCACAATTGTGACCGCAGCTTTTTTCTTATTTCTGGAAGCTCTAAAAATGTTTTTATTGACTTTGGGCAAGAAATTCAACTTTTAAATGACAAAATAGATTGTCTTGATTAAAATCAATTAATGTCATGTGACTAGTGTGAAAGGTCACATGACCAGATCAGTTCACTTTCTGCTTGCACATCTAGAAGAAGATGTCTTCCTCAGACTACTACAAAAAGTAGTATATAAAACATCTTAATTTACATATAGAACTATCATATTTTGTACATATATTCTTTAAAGGGTCTACTACTGATATATTTTGAGAATTATACTCCTGCATATATATTTTGCTCGTAAGACTTGTAAATTTGTTTACGGTCACAATTGTGACCGGTAGTATAACAGTATAATAGTGCTTCAATTGAAAACAGAGGTATTGGCTGGTATTGGCAGGTTTTGGCAATCCTACACTGAATGGATGGATGTGAGGGGGATGGATGATCTTGGCAAAAGAGAAGTGCTCACTAACACAGATTTAGACAGATTTGTGAAGAATATTTGAGAGAAATAGGCCTTTTGTGTACATAGAAAAGGTCTTAGATCTTTGAGTTCAGCTCATGAAAAATGGGGGCAAAAACAAAAGTATTGCGTTTATAATTTTGTTCAGTGTAGTGATGAGTGTCCCAGAAACGGTCAATGTGCTGGACCTTCTTGACGTACGTGACCCCCTTCCCCCCCACCCCCACCCCAAATTGAAAGTGACTGTGATAGTGATGGCTCAGATAGGGAGTACCAGGGTGAAACAGCCCATTTGCCAAGTAGACTATTGAATGGCGACGCAGAGGTGAATTATCTGGAGGATTGGGCAGATGTTCATGAGAACCAAATGGTGTGCCCCACACATGACCACAAACAACCCTTTCTACAACGTACGGCCCATCTTCAGTGCACTGAATGAGTGAACACACATCTTCCTGAAATTGGCCTAGGACAGGGCCCAAGTGTAGTCATGGTCTAGCCCATACGGGTCTAGCCGAACAAGCAGAAGTTCCTCCAGGGTGTAACTTTGTACATGACAACCTTTTCACCTCACTAAGCCTTCTTCACGAAATGACAAAACGAGATATTGGATGTCTTGGAATGAATTGTGTCAATAGGTCTAATTGAAGAATTTGAATGAATTCTGACTATGTTGTTTCCCACCGGTCACTATTGTGACCGAGTATAAAACCTAATATTTCACTAACTTAACCAACATAAAATCAAAAAAGGCATAATGTTTGAGTGTTAGGGAGGTCTAAGGAGTAAAATGCATGTACTCAAGTTGCAAGAAAAAATTTGGGATTAAACGGGTTAATGCTATACACTGTAATTCTAGAGAAGTCTGAGCTTCCAGCGTTGCTGCCGTGGGTTAGTGAAGGTCCTTTTCTCTTCTAGCATGTCAACACAAAGTGAAGTCCTAACAGAAATGATTTACAGAGTCTTGTATGAACTTGCCTAACCTATAAGAGCAGACCCGAAACCCTGTTTAACACTCAGATGCAGGTAAGTAGACTTAACTTTAGTGAGCAGATGTGGTAATGATCAGTCAAAGACGATGGAGGCAATGAAGGACATGAAGAAGAGTCCAGAACATCTCTGAGCGTCAGCGGTGAGTAAATGCAGTCCACGATTGGTTGATATTATTAGATGTGATTTGGCATATTTCAATTTGCTATATATTATTTCAATTATGTTTCATGTGTGATATATAATCCATGGAAGTAACTAGAAGGAACAGTAAACTGACGTCTACAGCTTTCAACACTGCTGCGTGATGTCAGTAGGGTTCGCAAATGCAGACATCGTACGAGTTTAAGGAGGGCTTGGATGCAGTAACTGTACGTTCAGTGTAAAGTACACTAGTGCAACATAGTTAGACTGATACTGTCATTAGACTGTCATTTACTCAACCTCATGGTGTTCCAAACCGGTATGCATCTCTTTCTTCTACAAAACACAAAGGACTGGTTAAGGTTAACTTTTATTGAATGGACAAAAAAAAGCTAAAAAGTCTTTGGAATGACATGAGGGTGAGGAGATGATGACGAAAGTGTTATTTTTTGGGATAATCTATTTAAATACCCTTTAATATACCCTGAGTTTTACAGACTGAGTAGTATACTGTACGTCCCTTGTGTGAAGTTTGAATTTAAGATCTTACAAACGGCCGGTGGAAACCTTCCCTCTTCTCTGTCATCACAACTATCTTTCTCAATCTAACAATCTAAACTTTTCGAATTACATACTCTATAGTTTTATATAACTCTTTACATTTGTATTCAAAGGTGCTGTAAGCATGTTTTCAATGGACAAAATTTTGCCACAACCTGACAGATACAAACTATTCCCAAAAGCCTGTGGAAAGTCCCGGTCTAGAATTCAGCATTCTGTGATTTCAGCAGATTGTGGAGAGTCTTTGCTTTTCCAACATTTTAATTCTGTTGTGCACAAAATGAGGTCCATATAGACACGGTTTACTACACAAAGCCCAGACCTGAACCCCTAACACCATTGAGATGAGCGATAAGCGAGTGATGATGAGATGAGTGAGGCCTGACTGTTGAATATTTCATTTCAAAAGCATGAATCCCTGTCTTTGCTGCTGCAACAGCTTCATTCTTCCACTAGATGTTGAAGAAGGGTTTGCTCCAGTGAGGTCAAGGGCTCGCAGTGGGTTCTCCAGTTGATCCTGAAGGTGTTCGTGAGATTCTCTGGGCTTTGGGCAGATCCAGTTCTTCTACACCAGACTTAAACCACATGTGTATGAACTTGTCTTGTGCACAGAGGCGTTGACATGCTGGAGCAGATGAAGACCTTCTCCACACTGCTGAAGCACAGGATAGTGTAGAATGTCATCATACTATGTAGCATCAAGACTCGATTCATTCGAAGGGAGAATCACTGAAGCGAAAACACACATCTCTGTGACTAAAGAAGAATCTGACTGAATTACATCGCTTACAGCAACTTCTCAGTTATGGTTTTGCTTTTAGACTCTGAATCCTCAGTGTCTTTCTCTCCTCTCTCAGATATCGACGAGTGTCTGTCATCGCCGTGTGCCAACGGAGGATCCTGTACAGACGAGGTGAATGGGTTCAGCTGTTCCTGTGCCCAGGGCTGGGCCGGCCCGTCCTGCGAGTCTCCAACGCCCACATGTTGGTTTGCATTTCATCAGAAGCTTTTTGGAGCACATTTACAGGCCCCGTTGTTGACATGAAAAGATGTTACCAGGCCTATCAAAGAATGAACTTCTGTAGTGCCTCTCGGATGAGTAAGACACACACCTTTAAACATCAGTAAATGTTGCAGTGGCCCCAAACTGCTGTAACAGACACATATTGATCCTCTCAAAATATAGCCTGTGTAATTTGGCAAAACTGTAAAACGTTGTGTTATACCCTTGAAAATCAATTTACAGCTTATGTTCAATCTCCACATGCCAAAAAGATGCCTAAAGATATGTCTGCTGATCAATCAAAGGTGAAATAAGATCCCGTCACATCACATATGGCTAGCATCCGTTCATACCCCTCAATCCGAGGCCGTGTGGGGCGGCAGTGGCTCAGTGGTTTATGTAGGTTGTCTGCGAACCGAAAGGTTGGTGGTTCAATCCCCAGTTCCACCTGACCAAGTGTCAAGGTGTCCATGAGCAAGACACCTAACCCCAGCTGCTCCCAATGAGCTGGATGGCACCTTGTATGGCAGACACTGCCGTTGGTGTATGAATGAGTGTGTGAATGTGAGGCAAAATGTAAAGCGCTTTGGTGGCCATTGGGTCTGTGAAAGCGCTATATAAATGCAGTCCATTTACCATATACTGGGCATGTTCACTAGTCCTTCATCTGGGGGCTGTAGAAACATTATAAACCTTCACCTTAGATCACACTTATTAATTAAAGGATATTTAAAAATCCCAAAAGTGTTTGCTTTCGCAAGTTGTTGTTTGAGTACTTGCACAAAAACACATTTTAATTGAATTATTTAATTAACATTCCCTCTAGTCAGTGGCGGATCCTGGTCGAAGTTGCAAATTCCAATCCCTCATCCACAGATTCTGACATTCCAGTACAATTACAAAATATAGTGCATAGATGCACCTGTTCCTGATAAACATGCTCTGACAAACAGCTGCAATTTAAAAAAAAGGTTCTGTGACGGTTTCAAGACAGCAAACAATAGCTCATGGCACTCGAGAGGTGTTTTTACTTGTACAAGAACTTGCATTTGTTTAAGTAAAATTGTCAGAGTGTATTGTTTGAACATATTCTCGCTGAGTACTTTTGACATTATTCTGTTATTAACGTTATTACACATTATTTCTATACACTCTTTGCATGTGCATTGGGACGTGTTGAGCGTAAACCAGGCTTCATGCTCTCTGGTGCACAACTCACTCTTTACCTGCTCTTGAAATCGGATTCTCTCTGCAGTTTTTGTGAACGTAATGAACACGTCCCCTGATGGCGAAGCCTCCTCCTTCCCGCAGTCCCACTCGTCCGCTTTCCTCCGCCAGCCCGGGTGTAGTCAGACCCAGGGAACGACACACTGCACCTGTGAGCCGGGCTTCTCCATCTCCGGCCGGGAGAACAGCGTCTGCACAGGTGCGCTTCTTCAGCCATCACTGTCACCAAACACACTCAAGGAAGACACTGTTTATTAGTGGTCAAAGATTGAAATCCCATCTAAAGAGACCCATGCTGGTCAAGCTCAAAACTCAAGCTCTCCCGTTATTCTTGCGACGGGTCCTTGATGGTTTTGGTCTCTGTCTTTGGGACCAGCGATGCTGATCTTTTCAGTAGGGACACAAAGGCTCTTCTTCCGTCCAATGACGTGTTTGTTTCAACCTGCTGGTTCCTGTATGTTTTCTCCCAGACATAGATGAGTGTAAGCTGTTCCACACGGGGCAGGCGGGCCGTCTCTGCTTACACACGTGTGTGAACACTGCCGGCGGATACAGATGCTCCTGTCCTGCCGGTTACAACCTGACCCGTGATGGACGGAACTGCAAAGGTCATTCAGCAACAGCCAAAGATGCACTTGGGAAACACTACGGTCTCGATTCTGACCCTGTTTTTCCTTCCAGATATCGACGAGTGTGGATCCGGGCAGAACAACTGCACACGTGACCAGCTCTGCATCAACACCTATGGGGGTTTTCAGTGTGTTAAAGTGGAGTGTCCACAGATGAGGAACGCCAGCTACGCCAAAACCTCTCCAACGTAAGCAACAGTCTACAAAGCATCTTTATTTAAAGGGATAGTTTATCCAAAAATTTAAATTAGCCCATGATTTACTGACCCTAAAGTCATCCTAGTGTACAGTATATGGCACTCTTCTTTCAGACGAATACAAAGGTGTAAAACTATGCATCTATCCACGATAAAAGACGGCCGTACGCAAGTCGACTTACGCCACAAGAGTAACACTTGATCCATGTTTAGACGCGTAAGTTTAGACGCCTCTCGCGGTTCAAACAAACAGGGCTGGGCAACAAACTCAAGCTCCTCCCACACTTCTCTTTAAAAATTCTCATTTTAGACTTCTAATTCGTGACTGGTGTTTTTTTGCTCTATCCCCTGAGCTTCCGCATTCGTCAAAACGTCATGCAATCGATGCGTACGGCCGTCTGCCGGAAGCTACTTATTTTAGTTGATAAAGTTAGTTATGTATATTTTTCATACACATATGCATCGCTTCAGAAGGCCTTTATTAACCCGCCGGAGCCGTTTGGAGCACTTTTATGATGGACAGATGCACTTTTATGATGGATAGATGCACTTTGATGATGGATAGATGCACTTTGATGATGGATAGATGCACTTTGATGATGGATAGATGCACTTTGATGATGGATAGATGCACTTTGATGATGGATAGATGCACTTTGATGATGGATAGATGCACTTTGATGATGGATAGATGCACTTTGATGATGGATAGATGCACTTTGATGATGGACAGATGCACTTTGATGATGGATAGATGCACTTTGATGATGGACAGATGCACATTAATGATGGATAGATGCACTTTGATGATGGATAGATGCACTTTGATGATGGATAGATGCACTTTGATGATGGATAGATGCACATTAATGATGGATAGATGCACTTTGATGATGGATAGATGCACTTTGATGATGGATAGATGCACTTTGATGATGGATAGATGCACTTTGATGATGGATAGATGCACTTTGATGATGGATAGATGCACTTTGATGATGGACAGATGCACTTTGATGATGGATAGATGCACTTTGATGATGGATAGATGCACTTTGATGATGGATAGATGCACTTTGATGATGGATAGATGCACTTTGATGATGGATAGATGCACTTTTATGATGGATAGATGCACTTTGATGATGGACAGATGCACTTTGATGATGGATAGATGCACTTTGATGATGGATAGATGCACTTTGATGATGGATAGATGCACTTTGATGATGGATAGATGCACTTTGATGATGGATAGATGCACTTTGATGATGGATAGATGCATTTTGATGATGGACAGATGCACTTTGATGATGGATAGATGCACTTTGATGATGGATAGATGCACTTTGATGATGGACAGATGCACATTAATGATGGATAGATGCACTTTGATGATGGATAGATGCACTTTGATGATGGATAGATGCACTTTGATGATGGATAGATGCACTTTGATGATGGATAGATGCACTTTGATGATGGATAGATGCACTTTGATGATAGATAGATGCACTTTTATCATGGATAGATGCACTTTGATGGACTTCAAAAAATATACAGCCATTCACTGCCATTATAAAGCTTGGAAGAGCCAGGACAATTTTTAATAAAACTCCAATTGTATTCGTCTGACAGAAGAATGTCATATACACCTAGGATGACTTTAGAGTCAGTAAATCATGGGCAAATTTTCATTTTTGGGTGAACTATCCCTTTAAAACCAAGAAACCTGTGAAAGTGTTGTGCTCTCAGGCGTTGCGAGAGGAACCCCTGCCCCGGGTCCAGCAGGACCTGCTCTCAGACGCCCGGCTCCGTGTCCCACCATCACCTGTCGGTGGTGTCCGGGCTCTCGGCTCCTCGGGTCGTGTTCCGGGTCTCCGCCGTGAGGATGATCGGAGACTCGCTGAGGTTCGCTCTGCTGGGAGGACAAGCTCACCGGTTCTTCACCGTGAGGCGCTCAGACCGCCAGACGGGGGAACTCCTGCTGACCCGTCCGGTTCTGGGCCCGGCCACACTGGACCTGCAGGTGGAGATGAGGGAGCTGGAGCGCGGAGAACTGCTGGGCCGATACATCACCAAAATCACCATCTTTGTCTCACCATATGAGTTTTAGAGTCAAGCTACAGAAGTTAATATCAAGAAGAAATCTGGCTAGGTAGTTTGAGCATTATTGCATAGATTCTCCACCAAACAAATGTCCCAAAAAGAGCCAAAGTCTCAAGCTTTGATTAGCCGCCTTTCCATTACCCTTCAAATTCCGCAAATTAAAATTGCGAATTGAAAATACGGCCAATGCAAAAAAGTTTTTAAAGTTTTCAAAAAAGGAATGACTTATAGAAATATTTATTTAAAAATTAAGTTTTAGTTGCATAACATCGGTTAATGGAAACACCGTCATTTCGCAATTGTTTTTTTATCGACATTTAGAAAATATTGCAAAAAAACGCGGCTATTGTCGTCATACGACACACAGATTGAAACAGTGTCTGCGAGTAGAGTTTCTCACAGCATTTTGCAATGAGCTCCTCTCTGGGTTTCACTCATATTCTGGACCAATCAAATTAGAGGATCAGAACTGGTCTGGTAGAGTCATAACCTAATATTACTTTGCTTAAAGCCAGACATGTTCATATAATGATGAATATAGAAGTGCATTACAACATAATTAATACAAGTGGGACCATAATCCCCTGTTGTCGTGTGTGTATGTGTGTGTGTGTGTGTGTGTGTGTGTGTGTGTGTGTGTGTGTGTCATTGGCTGCGTTTACACTTGGCATTAACCAGATCGGATCATTAGCCAATCAGGATTGGATTTCTGTTTCTTGCATAATATTTAAATTAGGTCTATGGCACGACACCAGATTAAGTGTATAAAGATGATACAAATTAAACAATGTCCCAATTGCTTTCGACTCCCTCCGGACCGGGACACGCTGATCCGACAACATCCGGACACAGGTCAATGTTAATGCCAAAGGTAAATGCAGCCAGACTGCAATCCTCTAAACTGAGCTAATATTTATTTGTATTTTATACCAATAAATTACATGGATCTACCTGTTGATGTACCTTTTCAGTCTAATGCATGCATCTTTTTGCCATTAATCATGTTCAGGTCTCCAGGGCTGTCCAGAGATTAAAATAATAAAAAATTGGAATTTACTCGAATTTGCATCTAAATTATTTTGTGGTGTAATCGAACAGTTGAGCACAAGGATCTAGTGACACACACACACACACGCACACACACACACACACACACACACACACACACAGTTGAGCTGCTTATTGCTTTAATGTGCCAAACTAATAATCATATGAGTCCAAGTTCATTATGGAATACAAAGTAATTCAAGCTAGTGCATAACAATAAATACCCTTGATGTGCAACATGACATCATGACTTTGCGTAAACATATACACGCCACTTTCAATTCAAGTGGCGTGTTATCTATACGCATTTTGAGCTATCCGCGTGTATGTGCACGCCGAAATCTTTTGCGTGTATGTCTACGCCATTAAATGTCCGAGTGTTTCCGCGTGTATGTGTACGCCGTTAAATGTCCGAGCGAAACGAAGCAAAATCTATATCTACATCTGTGGAGCGATATTTCTTTTCCTAGGATGGTAGGAGAAGACTCATAAATGGTATTAACCCCAGTGACGGGTAGGTTTAGGGACGGGGTTGGGGTAGGTCATATATTTATATATACATAATACAGTAATATAACGTTAAGTCAAAGGCGTTGATAAACACGCTGAAAAGCGATTATGCGTGTTAATAGCACGCCAAAAATGGAAATACGAATTGGCGTGTCATACATACGCCATTTCATGAGATCAGTCTGTGATGTGAGAAAATAGAGACAGAACTAATACATAAAGCCAATCAATCCAAATGAGGAGTCATTTCTTGACGTAAATTTTTATTCATGAAAATCAATGAAACATTTGTACAATATAAATACAAAGGCAAGATGGCCAGAAGGATATTCTTTAGTGTATAATAGTCCATTTAGGCCTGATATCTTCGTCTAACATTTAAAAACACAACAGGTACAAGCAAAGCGTAAGGTGCAAATCCGTCTCTTCAGGATCTTCCACGACAGAACAGTTTATTCCCACAGATCACACACTCACACTCACACTCACACACACACACTCACACTCACACACACACACACACACACACACACACACACACACTCACACACACACACACACACACACACACACACACACACACACACACACACACACACACACACAGCCTGTGCTTCACCCTTCACACGGTCAAACGCTGCACTTTATAAAAGCGTCGCTCGAGACTCTGTTCAGTCATTTTTTATCAACGTCACAAATCATTCACACGATCTCAGTGCCTCATTTAGTCTTGTATTTTTATTACAAAATATTGTGACACAAAGACACACAAGGAAATACTTCTCCAGTTCTTACCAATTAAAAACCAATGCTTCAAATGGACGTTGATTGTCTCGTGGCAATCTGATATCCATGTAAAACCCCTTTATTGTAAACCATGTGACAAACCTCAGAACAGGCCAATCACTCAAGAAGACATTACTGGACTATTAACAGAAACAGACGATTAAATAGAGTTTTTCTTTTCAATTATGCTTTCAGATAATGCTAATGCCAAACAAATGCCACTTTAGCTGTCGAAACCGGGCAACTTCTGCAACACATGATGCACATTAATAAAGGTTTTAGAAATTCATCGACCAAATCCATCAACTGTTTGAAAAACAACAACAACATTTATACACACACACACACACTCTCTCTCTCTCTCTCTCTCTCTCACATACACACACACACACACACTCCTCATCTCTACTTGCTCTGGAAGTTGCTGAGCTCCTCAGACTCACACACACACACGCTCCTCATCTCTACTTGCTCTGGAAGTTGCTGAGCTCCTCAGACTCACACACACACACACACACACACGCTCCTCATCTCTACTTGCTCTGGAAGTTGCTGAGCTCCATCTCCTCCCTGCGCCGCTTCTGCTGTGTGAAGAGCGAGCTGAAGGGGTAGAGCTTGGCTTTAGCCGGGAACTTCTGGCCTGCGATGTCCACCTCGTAGTCTCCGCGGTTGATGAAGTCGGGGGTGACGGGGGCCGGGGAGCCGTCGGGGCTCCTGGCGCTCAGGAACCCCAGACACACGTGCCGCTCCAGGCTGTAGCTGTAGGCGCTGCTGGTGGTGCCGCCCACGAGCTCCCCGCTCCGGTACACCGGCTCGCCCCACCAGGGCCACACGTCCAGATCCCGGTCGTGCTCCTCCAGAACCAGCATCACCAGCCGCCGCCTCACGCCCTCCACCCGCTGCTGGAGCAGAGCGTCCCGGCCCAGGAACCCGGTGTCCTACAGGAGAGAGAGATCAGTGTGTGAGGAACCCTGTGTCCTGAGAGAGATCAGTGTGTGAGGAACCCTGTGTCCTACAGGAGAGAGATCAGTGTGTGAGGAACCCTGTGTCCTACAGGAGAGAGATCAGTGTGTGAGGAACCCTGTGTCCTGAGAGAGATCAGTGTGTGAGGAACCCTGTGTCCTACAGGAGAGAGATCAGTGTGTGAGGAACCCTGTGTCCTGAGAGAGATCAGTGTGTGAGGAACCCTGTGTCCTGCAGGAGAGAGATCAGTGTGTGAGGAACCCTGTGTCCTACAGGAGAGATCAGTGTGTGAGGAACCCTGTGTCCTACAGGAGAGATCAGTGTGTGAGGAACCCTGTGTCCTGCAGGAGAGAGATCAGTGTGTGAGGAACCCTGTGTCCTGAGAGAGATCAGTGTGTGAGGAACCCTGTGTCCTGCAGGAGAGAGATCAGTGTGTGAGGAACCCTGTGTCCTGAGAGAGATCAGTGTGTGAGGAACCCTGTGTCCTACAGGAGAGAGAGATCAGTGTGTGAGGAACCCTGTGTCCTGAGAGAGATCAGTGTGTGAGGAACCCTGTGTCCTACAGGAGAGAGATCAGTGTGTGAGGAACCCTGTGTCCTGAGAGAATCAGTGTGTGAGGAACCCTGTGTCCTGCAGGAGAGAGATCAGTGTGTGAGGAACCCTGTGTCCTGCAGGAGAGAGATCAGTGTGTGAGGAACCCTGTGTCCTGAGAGAGATCAGTGTGTGAGGAACCCTGTGTCCTACAAGAGAGAGAGATCAGTGTGTGAGGAACCCTGTGTCCTACAGGAGAGATATCAGTGTGTGAGGAACCTTATGTCCTACAGGAGAGAGATCAGTGTGTGAGGAACCCTGTGTCCTACAGGAGAGAGAGATCAGTGTGTGAGGAACCCTGTGTCCTGAGAGAGATCAGTGTGTGAGGAACCCTGTGTCCTACAGGAGAGAGATCAGTGTGTGAGGAACCCTGTGTCCTACAGGAGAGAGATCAGTGTGTGAGGAACCCTGTGTCCTGCAGGAGAGAGATCAGTGTGTGACAAACCCTGAGTCCTGAGAGAGATCCGTGTGTGAGGAACCCTGTGTCCTACAGGAGAGAGATCAGTGTGTGAGGAACCCTGTGTCCTGAGAAGGAGATCAGTGTGTGAGGAACCCTGTGTCCTACAGGAGAGATCAGTGTGTGAGGAACCCTGTATCCTGAGAGAGATCAGTGTGTGAGGAACCCTGTGTCCTGCAGGAGAGAGATCAGTGAGTGAGGAACCCTGTGTCCTGAGAGAGATCAGTGTGTGAGGAACCCTGTGTCCTGCAGGAGAGAGATCAGTGTGTGAGGAACCCTGTGTCCTGCAGGAGAGAGATCAGTGTGTGAGGAACCCTGTGTCCTACAGGAGAGAGAGATCAGTGTGTGAGGAACCCTGTGTCCTGAGAGAGATCAGTGTGCGAGGAACCCTGTGTCCTACAGGAGAGAGATCAGTGTGTGAGGAACCCTGTGTCCTGAGAGAATCAGTGTGTGAGGAACCCTGTGTCCTGCAGGAGAGAGATCAGTGTGTGAGGAACCCTGTGTCCTGCAGGAGAGAGATCAGTGTGTGAGGAACCCTGTGTCCTGAGAGAGATCAGTGTGTGAGGAACCCTGTGTCCTACAGGAGAGAGAGATCAGTGTGTGAGGAACCCTGTGTCCTACAGGAGAGAGAGATCAGTGTGTGAGGAACCCTGTGTCCTGAGAGAGATCAGTGTGTGAGGAACCCTGTGTCCTACAGGAGAGAGATCAGTGTGTGAGGAACCCTATGTCCTACAGGAGAGAGATCAGTGTGTGAGGAACCCTGTGTCCTACAGGAGAGAGAGATCAGTGTGTGAGGAACCCTGTGTCCTGAGAGAGATCAGTGTGTGAGGAACCCTGTGTCCTACAGGAGAGATCAGTGTGTGAGGAACCCTGTGTCCTGAGAGAGATCAGTGTGTGAGGAACCCTGTGTCCTGCAGGAGAGATCAGTGTGTGAGGAACCCTGTGTCCTGCAGGAGAGATCAGTGTGTGAGGAACCCTGTGTCCTGAGAGAGATCAGTGTGTGAGGAACCCTGTGTCCTGAGAAGGAGATCAGTGTGTGAGGAACCCTGTGTCCTGCAGGAGAGATCAGTGTGTGAGGAACCCTGTGTCCTGAGAGAGATCAGTGTGTGAGGAACCCTGTGTCCTCCAGGAGAGAGATCAGTGTGTGAGGAACCCTGTGTCCTGCAGGAGAGATCAGTGTGTGAGGAACCCTGTGTCCTGAGAAGGAGATCAGTGTGTGAGGAACCCTGTGTCATGAGAAGGAGATCAGTGTGTGAGGAACCCTGTGTCCTGAGAGAGATCAGTGTGTGAGGAACCCTGTGTCCTGAGAGAGATCAGTGTGTGAGGAACCCTGTGTCCTGAGAGAGATCAATGTGTGAGGAACCCTGTGTCCTGAGAGAGATCAGTGTGTGAGGAACCCTGTGTCCTACAGGAGAGAGATCAGTGTGTGAGGAACCCTGTGTCCTGAGAGAGATCAGTGTGTGAGGAACCCTGTGTCCTGAGAGAGATCAGTGTGTGAGGAACCCTGTGTCCTGCAGGAGAGAGATCAGTGTGTGAGGAACCCTGTGTCCTGAGAGACATCAGTGTGTGAGGAACCCTGTGTCCTGCAGGAGAGAGATCAGTGTGTGAGGAACCCTGTGTCCTGAGAGAGATCAGTGTGTGAGGAACCCTGTGTCCTGCAGGAGAGAGATCAGTGTGTGAGGAACCCTGTGTCCTGAGAGAGATCAGTGTGTGAGGAACCCTGTGTCCTGAGAGAGATCAGTGTGTGAGGAACCCTGTGTCCTGCAGGAGAGAGATCAGTGTGTGAGGAACCCTGTGTCCTGAGAAGGAGATCAGTGTGTGAGGAACCCTGTGTCCTGCAGGAGAGAGATCAGTGTGTGAGGAACCCTGTGTCCTGAGAAGGAGATCAGTGTGTGAGGAACCCTGTGTCCTGCAGCAGAGAGATCAGTGTGTGAGGAACCCTGTGTCCTGAGAGAGATCAGTGTGTGAGGAACCCTGTGTCCTGCAGGAGAGAGATCAGTGTGTGAGGAACCCTGTGTCCTGAGAGAGATCAGTGTGTGAGGAACCCTGTGTCCTGCAGGAGAGAGATCAGTGTGTGAGGAACCCTGTGTCCTGAGAGAGATCAGTGTGTGAGGAACCCTGTGTCCTGCAGGAGAGAGATCAGTGTGTGAGGAACCCTGTGTCCTGAGAGAGATCAGTGTGTGAGGAACCCTGTGTCCTGAGAGAGATCAGTGTGTGAGGAACCCTGTGTCCTGCAGGAGAGAGATCAGTGTGTGAGGAACCCTGTGTCCTGAGAAGGAGATCAGTGTGTGAGGAACCCTGTGTCCTGCAGGAGAGAGATCAGTGTGTGAGGAACCCTGTGTCCTGAGAAGGAGATCAGTGTGTGAGGAACCCTGTGTCCTGCAGGAGAGAGATCAGTGTGTGAGGAACCCTGTGTCCTGAGAGAGATCAGTGTGTGAGGAACCCTGTGTCCTGAGAGAGATCAGTGTGTGAGGAACCTGTATCCTGAGAGAGATTAGTGTGTGAGGAACCCTGTGTCCTGAGAGAGATCAGTGTGTGAGGAACCCTGTGTCCTACAGGAGAGAGATCAGTGTGTGAGGAACCCTGTGTCCTACAGGAGAGAGATCAGTGTGTGAGGAACCCTGTGTCCTACAGGAGAGAGATCAGTGTGTGAGGAACCCTGTGTCCTACAGGAGAGAGATCAGTGTGTGAGGAACCCTGTGTCCTACAGGAGAGAGATCAGTGTGTGAGGAACCCTGTGTCCTACAGGAGAGAGATCAGTGTGTGAGGAACCCTGTGTCCTGAGAGAGATCAGTGTGTGAGGAACCCTGTGTCCTGAGAGAGATCAGTGTGTGAGGAACCCTGTGTCCTGAGAGAGATCAGTGTGTGAGGAACCCTGTGTCCTGCAGGAGAGAGATCAGTGTGTGAGGAACCCTGTGTCCTACAGGAGAGAGATCAGTGTGTGAGGAACCCTGTGTCCTGAGAGAGAGATCAGTGTGTGAGGAACCCTGTGTCCTACAGGAGAGAGATCAGTGTGTGAGGAACCCTGTGTCCTGAGAGAGATCAATGTGTGAGGAACCCTGTGTCCTGAGAGAGATCAGTGTGTGAGGAACCCTGTGTCCTGCAGGAGAGAGATCAGTGTGTGAGGAACCCTGTGTCCTACAGGAGAGAGATCAGTGTGTGAGGAACCCTGTGTCCTGAGAGAGATCAGTGTGTGAGGAACCCTGTGTCCTGCAGGAGAGAGATCAGTGTGTGAGGAACCCTGTGTCCTGAGAGAGATCAGTGTGTGAGGAACCCTGTGTCCTGAGAGAGATCAGTGTGTGAGGAACCCTGTGTCCTGAGAGAGATCAGTGTGTGAGGAACCCTGTGTCCTACAGGAGAGAGATCAGTGTGTGAGGAACCCTTTGTCCTGAGAGAGATCAATGTGTGAGGAAGCCTGTGTCCTGAGAGAGATCAGTGTGTGAGGAACCCTGTGTCCTGAGAGAGATCAGTGTGTGAGGAACCCTGTTTCCTGAGAGAGATCAATGTGTGAGGAACCCTGTGTCCTACAGGAGAGAGATCAGTGTGTGAGGAACCCTGTGTCCTACAGGAGAGAGATCAGTGTGTGAGGAACCCCGTGTCCTGAGAGAGATCAGTGTGTGAGGAACCCTGTGTCCTACAGGAGAGAGATCAGTGTGTGAGGAACCCTGTGTCCTGAGAGAGATCAGTGTGTGAGGAACCCTGTGTCCGACAGAAGAGAGATCAGTGTGTGAGGAACCCTGTGTCCTACAGGAGAGAGATCAGTGTGTGAGGAACCCTGTGTCCTGAGAGAGATCAGTGTGTGAGGAACCCTGTGTCCTACAGGAGAGAGATCAGTGTGTGAGGAACCCTGTGTCCTGAGAGAGATCAGTGTGTGAGGAACCCTGTGTCCTGAGAGAGATCAGTGTGTGAGGAACCCTGTGTCCTACA